CCCGCGACCCTCAGATTGCGAGTCGAGTGCCTTAACCACCTGGCCATGCCGAACCCCTGAAGGAGGGTATAACGTTCTCTACTATAATTAATAATGTGAAGTTTGAAACGCTATTTCTTTCGTTAAAATAACTATACATTTTGTCCCCCTACCCCATCCGATTAAGAAAAATCGTATACAAGGGGGGAAGTTTTGAGAGTAAGACTTTACAGACTGTCTTTATGCGCGTGTGCCGTTCTAATTCTTCCTGTACTAAATTGTGCGCATGTGCCGTTCTAATTCTTCCTGTACTAAATTTTATCTCCATCAACTGTTGGTAAAATTGTTTTCAATTTGCCTTTAAAGTTTGTTTTATGCAAAGTTAAATCTTAACTTTAATCTAACGAATGACTGACAAATGAGATGATTAAATTCATGGTATTTTTATTGATATAAAAGATGTTTGCTTGTCTCTTAGATTTCGCTTCAAGCTGAACGAGGGTTAGCTGTCCCCAATATTGAAGTGATAGGCTAGAAGAAAGGCAGCTAACAAACGCCACCCACCGGCAACTCGTGGGCTAACCTTCTCAGAATAACTAGTGAAATTTGACCGTCACTCGTATGACGCGCCCACAGCAGTTTTTGTTTTGCGGTAAGGAGACACGAACCATCGAACCTCGGTATGACATACCAGCCACTGTATATGAGAATACCAGTACAGTATAGTTTTCTTTCATTATATTTATGGAGTTCCTCTTGTTAAAGAGCTACAATTCGAGCATTAGTTTAAAATCAATGCAACACAGTGCATGCGAATGTTCTAGAATTTGCCCAAATATTCAGTGTTCAGGAATGTGGTCTTACTTGAGTGTTTTCATTTTCAGGGCTAGGTTTTATTATCTTGTTTAGGACAACGAAAGATGATCCAAGAGCTACAGGCTGGTGATCCGCGCGCGCGTGCTTAGAAGTCAGAACCGCAGAAGAAAGAATAGGTAAAACCTAACAAACGAAAACGTTTTTGTGTGAACAGATTGGAGCTCGTCCAGATATTTCAATTGTGTGAACAGATTGGAGCTCGTCCAGAGATTTCAATTGTGTGAACAGGTTGGAGCTCGTCCAGAGATTTCAATTGTGTGAACAGATTGGAGCTCGTCCACAGTTGAAATCTCTGGACGAGCTCCAATCTGTTCACACAGTTGAAATCTCTTGTCGACAAATGACTTCACTAGCTGATCCGGGAGGGGGGGATGCAACCTTCTTTCTAATGGACTACCGATCAAAGGCGTCCTTAGGCCTAATAAAGCGATTTTTTTTTCTCAAAAGGTTTGATTACTAAAAATCTTGGATCTGCTGCTGTACCCTAGCGTGTCTGTTTTGTATGCTTTGGTTTGAACTTTGAAATAAAATTCTTCTTCTTGAAATTTAACTATTGATGAAATAAAACGAAAATATTGAAATCTTTGGACGAGCTCCTATCTGTTCACACAATTGAAATTTCTGGACGAGCTCCTATCTGTTCACAGAATTGAAATCTCTGGACGAGCTCCAATCTGTTCACGACAGACTCATTCTGCCATATAGGTTTCAGTATCAGTATTCAGGAGGTAGTTATTTCAGTACATGTAGTCTCACACAGTCAAGCTTACATATGAAGTACTTTATCCAACGTCACCTAAGGACAGGAAAAGATACCATGAAAGTTTTTCACGTATCGAGGGGGGGAGGGGTACTTTCTTATCCCTGGTGTTTAATTACTAGGGAAGGAACCCTTGTTACAAAATAAGCATGAGAAAAACGTGTCTAATCTAAATCCTAGAAGCTCTTGATAACCGTCAATTGTTTATCTAAAAGACGTTATGTCATTCGAGTAGCCACGTTCCCACGCCCAAAAGGAGCGTTCTATCAAGCACGTGAGCTACAAAAACGCGTCTGTTGTGGTCTCAATTTTTATCGCTCCAGTCACTAGGAGATCTGCAGTTAGGCACTGGTTTAAAAAATACTTAACTTACTAATAGTTTTGGAAGAAAAGAACTATCCGGCAATATAAAGGAAGATTTGTGTCAAGTCGTATTTCGCCCTTTTCCCCTCGTGAAAATAAAAGCACGCAGTAATTTTAGTGTGTCCAATTTGAAGCACGTGAGGGAGGTGCAAGCCTCGTGGGAACGAGCGAGCTTCTGGGGCTGTCATGCGTAACAGTCCGCACCCACTGAATAACAACCTACCATTATTTCTTGTTCCTGTTAACAATTAGGGTAACGATAGGTGTCTGAAGCCTAACCATTAGAAGAGGCGACCATTTCCTTAGAAACCCTAAAAATAGTTCCTTTGTGTCAGCCGGTAAAAAAACAAAACCAAAACCCACGTAGCATAGCATTCCCAATGATAGTTTTTGTTTTATGTACTGAAATAACTTAACACTAATTTCATAAAGAAGAAACAAGGGCGATTCTTAATCCAAAGTCACGAATGTGTGAGGGGAGGTGAGGTGCAATAACCTCTTATTTCGAGGATCCATCAACTTTATTACATCTAACACTGTGCTAAGGATGTTACTTATCATGGTGTAAATAACAGTTTCGTTTTTCTAATAACATTCGGCTCACTCGGATTTTAACTGAACATGATCGAAACACATCACAAACATAAACACCCTACATATAACTTACCCTCACCCTTTGGAATATTAATAATGAAGTAGCTTAAAGCCCAGACAAGAGTCAGTATTAACCCCTAAAGTATGAAAACCAGTATTTTTCACTAAGAGTATTGGTGTCGATGCTAGAATATATTTGTATGTATATATATATATGTATATGTATAGAAAATCAATACTCAAACAGTCAAGCAATACAAAATCAAAAAGTTTACCTTATTTACCTCCCAGCCCCCCAGTGGCACAGCGGTATGTCTGCGGACTTTACAACGCTAGAAACCGGGTTTCGATACCCGTGGTGGGCAGAGCACAAATAGCCCTTGTGTAGCTTTGTGCATAATTAAAAACAAAAACAAACAATTTACCTCCCAAGTGGTAGTACCTTATTTACCCCCAAGTGGTAGTACCTTATTTACCCCCAAGTGGTAGTACCTAATTTACCCCCAAGTAGTAGTACCTAATTTACCCCCCCAAGTGGTAGTACCTTATTTACCCCAAGTAGTAGTAGTACCTAATTTACCCTCAAGTGGTAGTACCTTATTTACCCCAAGTAGTAGTACCTTAGTTACCCCCCCCCCCCAAGTGGTAGTACCTTATTTCGTTTTTCTTTCTTCCATTCATTCATTATTTATTTATTTGACTTTGGAGGGCAGCCACCTTCCCACAACTGTCTGCAGGCAATGAAGGATGATATAAATGTGGGACGTTGTGGGCTGGAGCACCCACATCTCGCTCTTCTAATTTCTACTACTTTTGATTATGTTATTATTATTTTTATGAATTTCGCCCTGGGGTTCCTCTTGATTTGTGCAGCGTCTTTGATTTGATTTTTGTTTGGGCTTGTTTTTATTCATTTTTTATATATGTGTGTTGAGGCTTTACTGTTTTTACAAACTAAACAAACGTGTACATAGTTTGGGCTTGTCTTTATTCATTTTTTATATATGTGTGTTGAGGCTTTGCTGTTTTTACAAACTAAACAAACGTGTACATAATTTGGGGTTGTTTTTATTCATTTTTTATATATGTGTGTTGAGGCTTTACTGTTTTTACAAAACTAAACAATCGTGTACATAGTTTGGGCTTATTTTTATTCATTTTTTATATATGTGTGTTGAGGCTTTGCTGTTTTTACAAAACTAAACAAACGTGGAACATAGTTTGGGCTTGTTTTTATTCATTTATATATGTGTGTGTTGAGGCTTTACTGTACAAACTAAACAAACGTGTACATTGTTTGTTCATTTTGAATTTTCGCGCAAAGCTACACTACGGCTACCTGCTAACATGCTAAAGAGAAAACAGCTAGTCAACAACACCCACCGCCAAATCTTGGATACTCTAATAAAATAGTGGATTTTGGGATTTGCCTGTCACTTTTATAATGCAACTACAGCCACATATTCGGAGCATGATCTTGCGATAACAGGATGCGAACCAGAAATCCTCGGATGTAGAGCCAGCACGCTAAACTCGAGACCAGGCCTAAAATTGATTGTTTATTGTTAACCGCATTACTCGACAGATTTTTAGAGTTACAAGTCCTCAAGTTAACCGCTGTGCCACCAGGGGATCAGTACATGTCTTACAGCCTACTGGGGACATTTGATACTAAAAATGTAGAATGTATCAAACACATATCTTCTTACCTTTAGCATGTAACACCTTGAGATGTTCCACGGTCATTTGTAAAATTTCTGCCTTTTCCAGTTTTGCTGACCCCTGAAATATACATTTATGTTTGATTCATATAAAGCTGATTTTATTTTCACAAATAACCGATTGTTATCTGAATTCAAACCACTCTTAAAGAAATTACAATATCTTTAGTAAATATGTTCTGTTTCGTTACTGTTGCCAAGACAATGACATTAAAACCGATATTACAGTCCACAGACGAATAACAAGAAGACGGAAATTACTTTTCTGACTTGGAGCTAAGGAATGAACAGAAACAGTGATCTTGACTTCAAGTCATTGGTATGATGCTGGAAGAGTTTGGTAAATAAAATTTAATAGCTAAAACTATAATAATTTTATATATAAAGAAGACCTCAAGTCAAAGATTTGGTCATTTTAGTAGAATAAATTGCGCAAGTATACTACGCCACGTTCAGTAATGAAGATAGAACTTTTACAAATAATTACTATGAATTGTACATTTTAAAAATATTCAGCGGTGATGCTTATTTACTAAATAGTATTCCAATTTTTAGTGACATTATGAGTAATAAATATTTCGGAAAAAGAACAGATAATATTCATTATGTAACAACCACTAAATATCCTACCACATAGCTCAGAAAATAAGAATTTAGGCTTAAGTGTAGACCACGAAACTTGTAAAAACAACAACAACAAAAAAAAGCGTGAAAGTAAAGCTATATGACCAACCTTAATTTGGTTTGAGAAATAACTATACAGATACAAGGTAAAAGTTTCTTTAGAATGCCCCAAATTACCTGTTTTTCAAAAGCTGCGGGGACAAGGCGTCGCAGTTCCGACAAACAATGATTAATTCGGTCACGGCGTCGTTTTTCAATGACCTACAGAATTCCACAGACATGTCATTTAAGTCGAAACAGATAAAAACAGTTCTTTAAATGAAATAGTGAAAGCATTGTAATTCTTTAACAGTGAAAACAGTATAGAAACAAGGAAGAAAGCGGCCAATATGTAGCCTGTAAAGAAGATACAGTAGCAATTTTAAATACGACAAATTAACCATTAAAGTTTCAGTGAGTTTATTTTAACTGAATGAGCAAAATAACATTTTGTTGTTGTTGGATTGGATGTTTTTGTCCAAGATTACTAGCGTAATTCTTACAGAAGTAATAATAAACATGACTTACTCCTCGTCTTCTTTTACGATTGAGCAGTTGGAAACCATCATTACCTTGGTTTGGATTCCTATGAAAAAAGAACAGCCTAGAATTAGACGACGTATTTATACACCACGCGCGTTTCTTATTTAGATACTTTCAAGTTTGGTACAAATAAAATTCGTCAACACATTTTACAAACTGCTGTACGTCGTATTTCACCAAAAAGTCACTATTCTGGTTATCGGTACTTATATACCACGAAATACAGTTGGACTATCTCTTCACCTCCCCCCTTCTCCCCCTATAGTCACGTGTCTGCTGCACGTGTTTTGCAGACGGTAAAAGACGTTTGAGATGGAAAAAAAAAAGGAAACCTACCCTTTAGTGTAATCGTCAGTAAAGACTTCGTCGCAGTCGGAATCCATATCACTAAGGTTTCTCTTCATCATCAGGAAGCGATTTGTGGGTTGCTCTAGAATGGTGGGACGGCCAGACACACGAACAACAGAAGTTCTCTCTTTAGACACACGACTAGTCTCGTGCAACGCCGTTCCTCTACTGATCTTGACTTTCCCACGACTAGCCGATTAAAAAGTTTCTCGTGCGACTGTACGCCGCCCCCCTGGTTTGTTTGAACGGTGACAACCTATGGTAGGTAAGAGAAGACCACTGATTGGCCGCGTGCAATGAGTGTGGTGGACTAGATGCGCGGGCAACTGTAGAACCTCTTGTTCTCACCATGTGTAGTCCACAAATAAGCTGTAGCGCTTACAAATACTTCTTTAAAGAAAGGAAGATTTTATCTGATAGGTGCCCTATTTTTCACTTATTTGCTTCCTAACTGTGCGCTTGCACGACCCAATAATTCAGTGAATGTTCGGTTTTAATGATTATTGGCACTTCAAGTTTGCCAAACCCCGATTTCATAATAAAGGCGTTGTATTTTGGGGAAGTTTGCTCCATGTTCGCTTTTCACTATGTATTGGCCCGGCATGGGCAAGTGGTTTGGGTGATTGACTCGCAATCTGAGGGTTCGAATCCCCGTCCCCACCAAACATGCTCGCCCTTTCAGCCGTGGGGACGTTATAATTCGACGGTTAATCCCACTAATCGTTGGTACAAGAGTAGCCCAAGAGTTTGCAGTGGGTGGTGGTGACTAGTTGCCTTCCCTCTAGTCTTTCTCTGCTAAATTAGGGACGTCTAGCTCAGATAGCACTCGTGTAGCTTTGCAAGAAATTCAAAAACAAAACAAACGCTATGTATTTGAGAGGGGTTGTTTAAGTATTTTACTGAATCATGTATATATTTACTTCAAAGTGACTCTCGCTACAGTACTTGTCTTATAATCAAGACATTATACATGAAATGATCTTTCAAAGTGGGTTTAGACAGTGTATTTGCTGTGTCACTGTCTTCTTTTGGTTATGAAACGACCTTTTCGGACGCCTTGTCGAGCATTTAGTGGCATATGGAACGAATTTTGTTAAATAAGTGGGTTTAGATAATATGCTGCTATGTCAGCATTCTTGAGATTTTTGTCTCTTCTTTTGGCTCTAGGACGATCTTTTTGAACATTTTGCTAAGCCTTTTTTTTCTAATGCAGAGTGAATTGCGTCAGATAACGTCCCAGAACGCGAAGAAGAATGGAATCCGAAACGTCGTCTCAAAATCAGAATAGGAGGCAGATGAAGTATAAATAACGTTAACCTGTTAATTAGAACTTTAAAAATCTTGATCAGTGTTTTATAAGCAATTCAAATGTAATATTTGTGGCTGAATACATGTTTTGCTGTACTTGGACTGAGACGTTGTAGCCATTTTTCTCTTGCCGAACAATATCTGTAAAACTAGCATATGGCTTGTCAAAAATGACGAGGTAAGTACTACTACTACCATCACCCCATAGTATACCCTAACCTCACATTTCATAGCTAACTGAAATAAATAAATCTTGCGAAATCAAGCTTGACCAACAAAGAGGCAGAAAAGTGCAGTCAAAACAGTCAAACGTTGGTTAATTCCTTTGTGAGCCAATCAAAATTAATATTATTCATGAAATGAATTCGTGCGTATTCATAAAATAATTATTGATAAAAATCACTTAGATTAACAACTTATAACATATAGAAAAGCTAGTGCGTTTTGGTAACACTACATTCAAACAATGGCTTTTATGTCATGTCCCTTAGCAACAAAAGTGTAACCTAATATTGTTGTTGTTGTACTGAAAGTATGAAATGTATAGACAACAAAACTGGAAATATTTGTTGATTTCTTAATTTAGAGTCTCCGTTGATTAAAGAGGTTTTTTTTTTCATATTAAAAGCGTTGATGATATAAGAGAAAATAGCTTAATTCAGAAACGATTTAAGTTTAAAATTGAATCGATATTTTTACTGTTATGATAGATTTTATACACTTGGCTGTATACTAAGTGATCCAACGCTACTATGCCTATGCCTTTAGGCTTATTATACCAACACTTATAAGGTTTCACTGCACTCCCTCCTCATGGCCCCCCTTGCACCCCCGTCACTAAAATCGTAATGGATAAATGCATTTTGGCTTTTATGAATCCTCCTATTTCGAAAAATTAAGCATTACGTGACACATACTAGTATTTATCTTTACTCTCCAGATAATAATAAAAACTTTTTATTTCAGCCAACGTTTCGCCATTACAGCTTCATCGTTTTGTTTCTAACATTGTTTTAATGTACGTAGGTATGTAATAAAACTGTTGATTTATAAATCCAATAATCACGAATTATTTTACATAAAATAATCAGTGAGGATTTAGTATCGTAAACATAATATGCGTAATTTTCAATTTAATTTTTAGTCCAAATTTATTATATCGTTTACAAGTAGTGCCACCTAACATTCCAGTTACTTGATGCGTACTCGGTGGATGTTTATGGAATATTTGAAGTCCAAATGGCTTGAGTAAGTAAGATTTTATTAATGTTATGGACGATAAATATTTTAAACTTTGTTGTATGATTAAAATCTATAAAATTATGACTTTATTTCTTTTAAGCTGTCTATTTAAAAAGTTATAAATCAATATATCCGTTAGTCTTAGTAGCCTTGACTGTTTTCAAACATTAACTCACTATGATTAAGTGTAGGCCTAATGAAAATTTTGACAATCTGATCAAGTATCGCTATCAGCGTGAGGTAGCGGAATGCACACTTGTATTTATACCTCGAACTATTCACTCCCGATGACTTCTATGACTTAGAGCTCACAATCTCATAGGACTTGAATAATTAATTCTATAAATTCCTTCCTCCATATGTAGGGAATTATGTATTTTAAAGTTAAACCCTATAACAACACATTTAAGTTATACTCTGTGGATAGCAGCTCATATATTTCAAAACTAATTACGTTGGTTTAAACGTGTTTCTTAACATTTATAAGCAGTATTCCCAACATTACAAATGTCGTATTCTTAAGTAATAATAATGATATTATAACGAGAATGTGTTAATTACATGATGTATCTAGTGAAAGAATAAAAGGGAATTTTGGCATTATACTGTCTTCAGTAAGGTTACTCGCTACAATACCTGTACTATAATGCACACTAAAATATTTGCATTAGGGTTCTTGTTAGTTCCAAATAATATTGTGTATGTATTGTAAATTTATCAGATGTGTTTAAGGCTACTCCTGTGTTGAGGCAGGGGTGAAAATTTTAAGTTAAAGGCGATGATTTAATACCCCATTTTATAGATTTCTGTGGTATTTTACACACAAGTTTGCCTCATAAAAAGCACCTCTTTCCCGAAAATATTTGAACGCGGATACATCCCGTTTTGCCATCTGAGTGAAAGATTCGGTAGTTGTACATATCAGGTAATTAAGGCTTAAAGGATTGTTACACTAGGAAACAGCTTTTGGAGTATCTAAACTGAAGTCAACATTCTGCAGTATAGCTACTGTACAAGTGGAAAACTGAAAATTATAATTTCCTTACATCGATATCCTTTCATACATGGTTAGGTTGTGCTTTTCGTCGTGAGGACATTTTAATTTTAAGACAGTTAATCAGATAGTGATAGATTAGAAGTTACACAGTGTTGGAAGCTATATTTTTAAAGTTATTTGTATTTTAGCTAGAACGAGTTTCAATACATAAATGACGATATCAAGTTAGGCCTAGAATTAGAAGGCTCTAAATATTTACTCTGAAGTGTTGTAATACATTCAAAAAAAATATTATAAATACAAGAATGAGTTGAAAGATAGGCAAGAAGATAGTGTGTAGAGTTTAGTTTCAAGAAGATTTAGAGATGTTTCAGTCAGTGTGTGAAGTTTATTGGACTTATTTTAACCGTTGCGCTTATTCAGTTACTTTGTTCAAGTAAATTGATTTTTACGTTGGTCCATATACTGTTGGAAGGTTTGAATATCATTTGTAACGTAGGCCTATGACAACTGATGACAATGTACAAGTGTTCAAGCTTGTATAAATGTCAAATAATGAAATAAAATAATTTTTTTATTGTCACACAGGATGAACACTGAATTATTTTCACTAAATAATTTTAAAACTCCCATCTGATCAACTGCTCTTTATTTTCTGAAGCTTTTCGAGGGGTGGACCCCGGAGTTAACCTGACTATCACTTAAGTTATTTTGTGTTACTCAATATTTTCGTACTACCACCACCAATTAATACGTATTTGTTGTCATGTGGCACATTTCTGTATTTTGTTTACTGTGCTCGGGAGAAGAAAGTGTTTGAACAATCTCCTTAGTTCGTTTCTCAACGGATTATGCATCACATTCTTTCAAACTTTACTAATGATTTTGGCGGAGAATAAATTTAATATTAAAACCCGGTGACGTAGAAAAGGCTTAACTTGTCTATTGAAATCTGTTCAGCTAGTCCAGTGGTACCCAAGCCTTTTTTTGGTTGATCTACTCAACCTAAACTCGCTCGTTCATCCGAATACCTCGCCTGTGTAGTACCTGTAGTAGGCCTAACAAGATTATTATTATTATTATCCCTAGTATTGCAAGTTTTATTCGCCCAGTTTCGTCTCTGTATTTGTAACGTTTTTGATCAAGTTTAATTTTCGTACAACAAACATGCAAGTTAAACTGCCTCATTTGATGCAAACATGCGACAACAACATAGAAAAAGCATCTCAAACCATGGACTATGGTAAATTTTGCTTCTCTTCTTATGATCGAAACTAGATATTTCGACCGTCACAGTTTCTTGGCATGCCTGGTTTTTGTTTTAATTTTTGGAAACGTTTTACATACGAAATTAACATACATTGGTGAGAGGAGATGGTAGGGAAGATGAACCTGAGAATCGACTCATCTGATCTCTTGTCTGTAGTCTGGTTCGTTACAGTTACTAGTAGCGTGGAGTACGGTTGTTAGATAAATCCGCACGTGTCACATGCAGGTGTGTACTCGCGCTGTTCCTGGTACGATAACAAGCCTTCCCACGGTATCCAAACCCATGACACAACAACCTGTCTACATGGAGGTTTGAACAGTATATCTAGAGGTTTGATATCCTAACCAGGAGAGCCAAGAGATGCGCATGAGTGGCACTGTTACCATCATATTGTAAAGAGCATAAAATGGTAAATAAGTTAGGTCGTTGTGAAACTGGACATAAGGCCCAACACAACTCCTTTCTTTGATAGAC